ATCAAGAAATAATTCATACCAAACAACTATTCAAATAATTTGTTTAATTCGAAGTAAAGATTTTTCGTTGATTATATGATCGAGGAACACTCCATCAAGAAATAATTCATATAAAATAACTATTCAAATATTTCGTTTAATTCGCAGCAAAGATTTTTAGTTGATTGTATGATCGAAGAGCACTCCAGCAAGAAATAATTCATAAGAAACAACTATTCAAATAATTTGTTTAATTCGAAACAAAGATTTTTAGTTGACTATTTTATCGAGAAAAATCCCATCAAGAAATAATTCATAATAGACAACTATTCATATATTTTGTTTAATTCAGAGCAAAGATTTCTAGTTGATTATATGATCGAGGAACGCTTCATTAAGAAATAATTCATACCAAGCAACTATTCAAGTATTTTGTTTAATTGAGAGAAAAGATTCTTCGTTGATCATATTATCAAGGAACACTTCATCAAGAAATAATTCATATCAAATAACTATTCATATATTTTGTTCAATTCAGAGCAACGACTTTGAGTTGATTATATGACTCGGGGACACTCCATCAAAAAATAATTCATATCAAACAACTATTCATATATTTTGTTCAATTCAGAGCAACGAGTTTGAGTTTATTATATGATCAAGGAATACTACATCAAGAAATAATTCATAATAAACACCTATTCAAATATTTTATTTAATTTGAAGCAAAGATTCTTCGTGGATTATATTATCGAGGAACACTTCATCAAGAAATAATTCATAGCAAACAACTATTCAAATATTTTGTTTAATTCGAAGTAAAGATTTTTAGTTGATTGTATCATCGAGGAACACCCCACTAAGAAATAATGCATACGAAACTCCTATTCAAGTTTTTCGTTCCATTCAGAGCAACCCTTTTTAGTTGATTATATGATCGAAGAACACTCCATCAAGAAATAATTCATATTAAACAACTATTCATATATTTTGTTCAATTCAGAGCAAAGATTGTTAGTTAATTATATCATCGAGGAACACTCCATCAACAAATAACGCATATAAAACAAGTATTCAAATATTTTTTTTAATTCGAAGCAAAGATTTTTAGTTGATTGTATCATCGAGGAATATCCCATCAAGAAATAATTCATACGAAACGCCTATTCAAATAATTTGATTAATACGAAACAAAGATTTTTAGTTGATTATTTCATCGAAAAACATCTCATCAAAAAATAATTCATAAGAAACAACTTTTCATATATTTTGTTTAATTCAGAGCAAAGAATTTTAGTTGATTATATCATCGAGGAACGCTTCATCAAGAAACAATTCATACCAAGCAACTATTCAAGTATTTTGTTTAATTGAGAACAAAGATTCTTCGTTGATTATATTATCAAGGAACACTTCATCAAGAAATAATTCATACCAAACAACTATTCAAATAATTTGTTTAATTCGAAGCAAAGATCTTTAGTTGATTATATCATCGAGGAACATTTCATCAAGACATAATTCATAATAGACAACCATTCATATATTTTGTTCAATTCAGAGCAAAGATTATTAGTTAATTATATCATCGAGGAACACTCGATCAAGAAATAGTTCATAAAAAACAACTATTCAAATATTTTGATGAAGTCAGAGCAAATATTTTGTCTTGGTTATCTCATCGAGAAATACGCCATCACGACATAATTCATATAAAACAAGTATTCAAATAATTTGTTTAATTTGAAGCAAAGATTCTTCGTTGATTATATTATTGAGGGACACTCCAGCAAAAAATAATTCATACGAAACAACTATTCATATATTTTGATCAATTCAGAGCAAAGATTATTAGTTAATTATATTATCGAGGAACACTCCATCAAGAAATAATTCATATCAAACAATTATTCATATATTTTGTTTAATTCGAAGCAAAGATTTTTAGTTGATTGTATCGTCAAGGAACACTCCATCAAAAAATAATGCATATCAAACAACTATTAAAATATTTTGCTTCATTTGAAGCAAAGATTTTTAGTGGATTGTATCATCGAGAAACACTCTATCAAGAAATAATTCATACTAAACAACTATTCATGTATTTCATTTGATTCCAAGCAAAGAGTTGAAGCTGATTATTTGAGCGGTGCTGAGAGCTAAAATCTTGTGGTAAATGAAGAAATCGTACGTTTGTTGAGTATGTGACGCAGTAAAATTTCAGAATCTCTATCTTCCACTGGTGCTGTTTGTGCTATGAAGACTGTTACCACCAACACCAAAATGACGATAAAACAAACCATCTGATTAAATTGTTTCATTTCTGCTTATTGGTTTTTAGTGCTTGAGGAGAAATTAATAATTAAATATGCACAAGTTATCGAATGGTATAATTGTACAGCTGTGCTTCAGCTTTATATATCTGTTGACTGCCTAGCAAGACTCATAGATGACGATGCATAACGTCATCAACATAGAGATAAATCATGCATATAGCATCATAGTGACGTCATTTTATGCGTATGAAACCTTAAGCCCTGTATTCATTCAGGTAGTTCGCTTTTTTTTCTATTCTCATGCGACTGTCAATGATAAAAAAAGAACCGTTTAATCAACGATGATGCGTCTATCATATTTATTTCGTCATGAGACTATTTTTATGCTATACATATCAATAAGAGCATTTTCTTATTTTCCTCGACTGAATGAAGTATCATACAATATAAAATTAAATGCGTTTGTATGCTTGTATATCTGCACACATCTGTAGAGTCCCATATCCATTTGTTTTCGTAAAAGTTTAAATAAAACATCCTTCAGTGATAAATATACGTAAGAAAATTAAGATTATTTTTGATCATCAGCTTAGAAATCGCATTTTTTTCTATAAAACTTCTGCTTTTTTCACGGTAATAAGATTTAAATCCATTGAAATTTCTAAATCGATTGAAAAAATAATTTACTAAACTGATTATTCTTGATTATTTCAGTCGTCATTTGATTTTGATCGTTAGTGTATTTTAAGCTGTTTAATTGATTAAAATTTCAATCAACAAAAAAATCAATTCCTTATAAACGATTATGTAAGAATTGCCTAATTCAAATTCGAATATAAATGAAGAGCTAATTGTTTATTAATATTTCGAAAAATAAATGAAAAAAAAAGGCTTTCCTATTGAAACAGCGAAAAAGCAAAAGAAAAATTTTATGTAAATTATAGTTTATCAATTCATAAATGGAGAGGCATGACCATGTTGCAATAGCAAAAAAGGAAAAGAAAAGTTTTATATCAATTATAGTTTACAGATTCATAAATTTATAAATGGAGAGGCGTATTTTCATGGCTGATGGCCATGACACATGCTCAGTATTGTTCTGTTCTCTGTTTTCTTACGTCAATTGCAAATATTTTGTTTTTTTTCTTTCTTTTCTTTTCATTCATTGTTCCTTGACTCATCATTCTCTAACGACCGAACGTTTCCAAGTGTGTGTCCCAGTTTTGAATGCAATATATACCAGTTTGTAGAGCTCGACGAGCTGATTCTTGTGGTATGCTTCGTTTTTTTCCCATAGAACTTCGAATGAGAAAAACTGATCGATTTTTCTGGTGAATTTCTTCATTTTGGATAAGCTTTGAGACAATTGTTAGTAATTTGGGACTTAAAGAGTATTTAAAGTTTAAATGGTCGTGTTATGACATAGACAATACTACATGTGTGTCTATTATTATACTATTTTAAATGCAAGTTAAGACTGACCTTGGATTTGGATTTCTTAGCCTCGATTACCTTTGGTCAAGTTTCTAAGATAATTATTCCTTTTGTTTTTGCATTGTTCTTCAACCAATCAATGAAGTGCGGACATACAAGCAACTTAACAATTTATTTTTGCTAGACTCTTCTCTACAAGAAAGAGAATAGTTATCTCAAACAGTATCTAAAAAGTTTTCAGTTCGATCGAACATAGTATCTCGAAGAAATGGACAGTTATTTTTTGCCATTGCGATGCTGATATCTCATAGGAGGCAGCACCTGTGATGACAACTTTTGCTCTAGTTGTTAACATCTACCTGCTCGGAAAATGTCAAATTTTTCTAATGAGCCATTCTCCAGAAATCCTGGAAAGAAAGGAGATACTCTTAAGTGCAATTATTAGTCACGTTGATTTAAATTTACTAGAGATAAGAATAAAGTCATTTCTTACACTTATTTTTCCTTTCTATATTACTCATCTTATCACTTTGATATGAGTGTATTCTGATTGTTCGTATTATCTAATAATCAACAATCATCCTTAATATTATTCATTCGATGCCATGTAAGCAATGATAAACAATAGCAATATAAATTAAGCCTAAAAAGAGTGATTATATTTAAAATATTCTTATTTTAGATTATTTCAATGACTGATACGAATAAATTAAATAAAGCTCTTTGGACAAATATTACTCAACTTAAATTATCGAATAAAGAAGATGCACCAGTAAGATTTTTACTTGATAAATCACCATTCGATGAAAATGATGATGATGATGAAACCTCAACGAAAAATACTGAATATGTTATTATTGGGCGAATATTACCAAATTCAGATATATTTAAAAAAAGTGCATTTCAACTAGAAATGAAATTAACATTAAATTATCCATTTCAACCTCCTGAAGTTAGATTTTTAACTCCGATTTATCATCCAAATGTTGATAAAGATGGTAAGTAAATGTATTATTTACTCAATATATATTAATAATAAATTAAGGTAAATTTTGTCATCCACTATTAACAAAAGCTACAAGATGGAAATCTGGAACGACTTTAATCGATGTTGTTAAAGCTATTGTTGAACATATTGACAATCCAGATATTGATTATTCAGTCAATCTCGGTTAGTTTTTTTTCTATTAGACAAAAATAAAAATCTTTTTAATATATATATTTTTTTTCTCATAAATTTTTGTATAGATATAGGTAAAGAATATATGGAAAATCGAACGGAATTCAATCGAAAATCTTTGGAAATGATTCAACGATATAGATTATCTCGGAATTAAACAATTTTATTTTAATCATGAATGTATTTTTATTTACATCTCTAGTTAAACATGATTAAAAAAAAATCACATTTATATCAATTTCACAAATACTGATATCTTCTTTTAAAACAAAAAGCTGTTAGCACAATCCCTCTGGGGTGTGGAATACAGTTGGAGTCGGATTTTAGGAAAACAAGAATGGAATTGTATAGAGTTAGAGTGGGACATTGTTGAATGTCTCATATTGAATTTTATACAAAAGCTTACCAAAGAATAAATTAACCTGCTATTCATTAACATCAATCGTAGATTTAATAATGTATAAAAATCTTTGTGTCTTCAAGAGTATATTGGAAGAAGTTCAGTTTTGCAAAATCGGAGGTAGAGTGGAGTTGTCCATCTGTAGCTGCTGTTGCTAATCGTAGGAACATTGTTTAATTCTGTCTGTCTTGGAGTACTTTCTTTACTCTCCTTTTGCTGAATCCGCTAGAAATACAATAAGGAAATAGTTACTACATTGTAACGAGCCATGATTAATATACTGTCTATGATTGTATGTCAACAACACCTGACACGGTCTATGTTGATCTCTGGTCAGCATCCGCCATAGTCTATGGTGGTTTTTGACAGCGTTTGTCACGCTCTGTGAGGGGGCAGTGCAATTCTCTACTCCATATATTTCAACACTCCTTTTAGATCGTTTTTCACAATGTAGTACTGGACGAAAATGCCCGCTTTAGAGGATCTCAACCGTTATAAATGCCGGGGACGAGAATTATACTAGATGACAATGAATGATACCTATATCATCTTTGAACTTCATAACTCTGAAAAATATGAGCTTTCTAGATCGGCTAACGACTTGTTAAGTGATGTCATTACTTGCACATCATCCCTTTCTTTCTATCATTGTTGTGACGTCATCGCATGTATGTGATCCATCTATATTATCTTTCGTTCTATAGTTATGTATGAATGCATATATCTCATGTCGTCTCTTTTTTAGCAACTGTAATCGTAATTGAATCGTAATCGAAAAGATAGGATGTTCTCATTTCTAGTATGTTCTATATGGATCATGCATATTCCCTATTGTCTTTCTAGTAAATTTCTTCCGTTTCCATACTCTTGTACATATACATCTGATACTTGCAACAACAAACAGATCGTATTCTGTACATATGCGACAAGATAAAAGTTCTCTCTGATTAACAATTGATTAGTGATTAACAACCTTTACAGACTCTTTATGTGGTGGTGTATTTCAGCTATTTATGCAATTCATTTTATAGAAGTTCATCAACCATCTCTAGCATTATGGTCATTTTACTGTGACTCTTGATGTGAAGAAAAATTATCTAGTGTTCTTTTGAGACGAGAACGTAGTAGTAATTCAGTGAACGAAGCTTCAACTCTCAGAAAAGCTATCTCTACATTTGGACATTAATGGAGTGTGGGTATACTGTAATGGTTGAAGAGAAGACACACACCCACATCCCACATCCTGCAGGTCTTCTAATGTGTCGAAGGCTTTAGGACTTCTCATTTAGAAGTTCTGAGCCGATCTTTGAAAGGCCTGTAAATTAAGTTTGAACGCATTTCAGCGCACCAAAAAATTGCCCAAAGCAGATATTTACAGGTAACTTATAAAATTTCACAGGGCCTATTGAAGTCTATCGTAAAACAAAAGTAAATTAACTAGAAATCACGAAAATTTGTCAAATATAAACAAAATACTTCTGAGTGAATTTTGAAATTACTCAGACATTACAAACCTATTTTAATCTATTTCTATATGAGAAAGAACACACGACTCATAATCATCCGTGAACGTCCAATTACAATGGCATAAACAGCATATTTAGGACGATAAATGAGACAAAAATCAACTCTTTGATAGACAATGAACACGGCAGTACACATTGACGTTTACGACCGTACTTCCATATAAATAAACGTACATGACCATAATGAACCGAAATGGCAGCCATCCACGAACATTTTCTTCCTTATCATAACACATATGTACTTTTGAATATAGTCTACATCGCTAATCTTAGAGATATATCCTTAAACTTGTACTCTTAAGTCTATACCCATATGCTTATGCCCTAAATCTATATCCTTACATCTTAGATCTATAACCGATGCCTATAAACCTAAAAGCTATGCCCTATGAGAACACTCTTATGATTATACCCATACCACTGCACCATTAGGTGAAAAGTACTTGATATGAATAGATATTTTATTTTACTAAAACTTATAGAAAACAATAATTTCTACAGTGTTTACTAAGAATAGAAGATTATTTGAGGTAAACATCGATCATTGTTCAGAACGTATGATCTTAACTAAAATAATATACACATAAATCACAATACGGAAAGCCATTTTAAAATGTGATAAAAAAGTATTTGCCAACAGAGACTCACTAAATACTTGTTAATAAATAATCTTAAGTGCTGTTTATAGATGTGCGGAACTATGAAAAAAAAGCAGTTGCTGAGATCGCGACTATAACAAAAACAGTCGTCCCAATCAGAACTAGCAATTGTAGTTAATAATTCTATAATTTTAAGTGAATCATATCAATCAGAGCATAATTTAAGAGAGAGATGATCCAAAAAAGTCCTTCTCATCAATTAAATTAATCAAAAAAAAAAAAGTAATGAAGAATTTTTCTAGATGTGATACAAATAAATTTTGAAATAGTTTTCTATAGGACAGAATCTCAAAAGCTAACTTCAACGAGATCGGGACTAAGATGATAGAAAAAGTTTTTAATAACAATATATTTTTCAATAATACTAAACATCTAGCTCAAACACAGATAATGATTTTAATAATTAATGGAATTTTGCTATCTAATACATTTATTGAATACCAAGCATAATAAATAATATCTATTCAAGTTTAAAGGTCTTTTAGCCTTCATCATTATTCTCAACTTTTTTTACACTATGTGATTTAGCAATAGGTTTATTATATCATTCAATTAATTAGTTATACTTGACAAAATCTATGTTGATATTGATATTTCTACAAATGAATAAATCTTTAGAATATATTTATATGAATGCGTGTGTCGTTGACTAAACGATCGACTCAAACATTTGCATACAAATATGTAAATATATAAGAAGTAACAACAAGAAAAGAATTGATGAAATGTAAATTTTCTTATAAACAGTTATACAGTTATAATTAATGATAAAATTAAATCTTTATATGTTACATTGACGAACAATAATATTTGCCAGATAGCGATAGAAAAACATGTATCTGTATCTTCCATTATAAGTATAAGTTATGAATATTATAAGCTTATCTTATAGCATCATGCGAAAATACGTATTTTATTTCATGATCGATAATTATTAAAGATATACCAACATATATGTAGATTGTATCCGATATTATTTTTTCTAGTTAGAATGAAAATACTGATGACTTCTTGAAGATTAACATTAAAGTCAAGGATGTATAATATATTTTGTTATGTTTCATCATATTTGTGTGTACATTGTTATTGCTCTGAATTGTTTAAAATTCAAGATGTTACCGTGTACTTCTTCAACAACAACAAATACTTTATACTTTTGAATGTAAACATGATAAAAGTATATTGAAGTATTAAAAAGTAGAAGAAAATACAAAATATACTGTTCATTTTTTAGCAAAAACTGTGAACTTAAAATCTTAAAATTGATTAGATATGTACCAGATTGTGTATAACCTTTTACTAGGGGGATAGCACTATGATTTCAAGTTAAATACCTAATGAATTTTATACCAAATTAAAGATCGTCAAAAACTGGATTCATTAGTATTAAATAGTAAGAGTTATCAAAATATTTTAATGTCGAACTTACGAAATTTTTGGAAACTTTATGCTTTTTTTTAGCATAGACAATTAAGGCACCAGTAACTTTTTATAGGGAAGACAAAACAGTCGATTTTCTCAATAAAATTAGTTTTTTCAATATTTTCACTCATAAAGATGCTGCGAGATATACTCATTAGACGCAATCTTTCCTGCTGCATCGGATGAGTATATTTCGAAGCGTCTTTCTAAGTAAAAATAATGAAAAAAGTTAATTTCGTCGAAGAAATCGAGTTTTTAAAGATTTTTTACGATTTTAAAAGTAATTTTTTAGATGTTTTATCTCCGAAAAATGGCTCAAGAAACTTTTAATATATATAGTTTTGTAGAGCTCGATAGGGCCTATCGAACCATGTAAAAATACCAAAAGAAACTATTTTACTCTATATTTGAATTGCTAGTGCCCTAATTTTCTATGCTAAAAAAAGGCATAAAGTTCCAAAAATTTCGTAAGTTCGACACTAGAGTATTTTGATAACTCTTACCATTTAGTACTAATGAATCCAGTTTTTGACGGTCTTTAATTTGGTATAAAATTCATTAGGTATTTAACTTGAAATCATAGCGCAACTCCCCTAGAAAAAGGTTATCCACAACCGGTACATGGATTTTGATCATATTTTACAAATACAATCGAATGAAATCGAACTAAATGCATCAAACAATAGCAAGGTGAGATTGAGTCATCGTTTAACACTGGTTTATTTCTCTTCACCTGACTTTTGTTTTGATTATTTTCATCTATAATACATCCCACGACGATCATGACACATGGGTAAGCATTGCTAGAGCAATGGGAGAAAATCTGCTACTCATCACCAACCGAAGCTCATTCATTTTTATCAATCAATCGATCTATTTACATCACCTGTAATTATCATATGGGAGACATCCAATTTAAACATTTACTCATCAATAATGACAATGATAAACAGTAGTATAAAAACTAGTGCTCTCTGCCTGTTTCTCTTCACTTCTAGTTTTCGATTTCGTTTATGTAGAAAAAAAAGAATGCATAGCATTAGTCGTTTATGAGTTGACTCTTTCTCTTGTTCACATTTTTATCTACTAATATATATATATATTTATATTCAGTCTTATACTACGCAAGTAACTCTTACCGATTTATTGCATATAGAATATCTCTCTCTATCTCTAGTTATTAGAATTGTCATCTTCTTTTTCTTTCTATCCTTTTAGATAATAAAGAAGATATTTTTGCAAGAGCAAATATGAATATGTTTTGCTCGATACTAATCTATTCTCTCGTTTTTATTGATATATTCCTCAATGTTCAATGCTACAATTCTGATCAAGAATTTAACCTGAAAAGCTTGATTCTTCGAAGGATTGCTCGCGACAGCTGTTCTGATCCAACTGATTGTATGTCGAAATGGGGCTGGTGTGGAAAGGGATCAGATTATTGTGGTGATGGTTGTAAAGCAGGTCCATGCACGGGGACTGGTGGAGGTCCCTGTCCTGATTCAACTGATTGTCGATCCAAATGGGGCTATTGTGGAAAGGGATTAGATTATTGTGGTGATGGTTGTAAAGCAGGTCCATGCACAGGAACTGGTGGAGGTGGAACTGGTGGAGGTGGAAGTAGTGGAGGTGGTTCAGTTGGTGTTATTACGAGTAGTATATTTGATTGTATATTCAACACGATCGATGCGACATTACGTGCTAACCGATTTAATGGACTAAAGGCAACAGGCTGGACACCAGCAAACAAAGATGAAGGTGCTGTCTTTCTTGCACATGTATTTCATGAGACAGATGGACTCAAGACAATGAAAGAATATTGTGCTCCAGGTATGTTTTTTTTCTAAATCATTCAATATGTAAAGACATCGAAAGTGTGCTGTATAATGAGACTAGTTTTCCTTCTAATAGGAACAATGATTCATTGAAAGTTAGTTGTACTATAGAAAATGAAGAGTATGAAATAGAATAAAATTTATTATTTTTCTAAAAATTCAATATTTCTACTTGTAACTGATAAAATTATTTTCTCAAAGAAATATATAGAATTTCTTGAATCTCATTTAGTCGAAAGAGTGAAAATCGATTATCTTTGAATATTGAATTAGTTGAAACTGAAAAATTTTCTTTTTCTTTCAAATACTAGGTTGTGGTCCACAATATAGTGGTTCTTGGTGTAGTATCTCGGCTGCACCGGGTAAATTATACTATGGTCGAGGTTGGTTTCAGCTTTCATGGCCATGTAACTATTACAATGCAGGTCAAAGTCTTGGTATTGATCTTCTCGCAAATCCAGACATAGTAGAAAATGATCCTAAGACAGCGGTAAATACAGCTCTCTGGTTCTACAAAGCAAATGGTATGGCTGCACCAGCTCAAAGAGGTGACTTTGCTGCTACGACACGCATTATCAATGGTGCACTTGAGTGTAATAATGGACCAGGTTACAATAATCAATTGACTCGAGTTGCGACCTACAAACGTGTTCGTCAATGCTGCGGTCTTGGAGAACCTTCCATAAATCCTGTCTGTTAGACTTTCTTTTCATTTTCTTCTCTTTATTGTACAGACATTTTATCGATCTAAAAAATGACTCTCAATTTAAATCAGAAGTTGTGGTTCTTTTGGCTCTGTGTGAGTCGTTTATGCTAATTATTTAATCATTCTTTCTTTCTGTCGGAATATACTACTATTTCGAATCTTCGGTTTTTTTTATTTGTTATCATTTTGTTTTTGGCTTGCGCTCTTCTGTTTCATTTGTTGTTAATTTATTTTTTCTTTGAAAAATAAAATCAAGGAAGAACATGATTGTGTCTTGTTAAACACTATTTCTAAAAACAGTACTACACCACTCGTTTTTTTTTCATTTCAAAGCATTTCTATAGGAAATTTTATTAGATGAAAAGACTTCATTTTTCATATGATTCTATTTAGAAACAAACACTTCACAAAAACTATCCGATACTATATATGAATATTTAGCAAATATAGTTTCCTACAAAGAATGTCAACTTATAATAGTCTAAACTAATTTTCAATAGTACTATGAGTTTTCTATTGATATGGAAACAATAAGAAATTTGAAAAAGTATTGTATCATTATTATAAGTTCTTCATTAGGAACTATTAAAATGTGGTGTGAAGCTTCAACTGTTGATTATCGAAAAAAAATCGATATCTCATTTAAAAAAAACAAATAATTGTTTGTATGACTAATCACACAATGCTTTTCCACACACGAAGTATTTACAGGTCATAGCATCGAATATCATTCCTGTTGTCCTTGTGGAAAACTCGAATTGTTTCCGTTTTGGTCATTCTGAGAATCGAAAGTACAAAAAGAACTTTAAAGCAGACATGGTCGATACCAACGGATATCAACTTATTTTTAAAAGACACTGTTGATTTTTCGTTTACTTATCTATTATTAGCCTTCTATAGAGGTGTAGTAAATAAAATCAACTTAACGAGTACACCAACACTTACTTTTTATGCTGTCTTCATTTTAATTATATCGAAAGGCGACGGAAAACAAAGCTCTTACAAATTTGTATTTTTGTGGAGTACGGATTTGTAAGAAAACAAGACATCCTGTGGAAGATTGAAAATAAATGATATCGATTCGATCTTGATACTTTCACCGTGTGTTTGAATGAGTATTTTCTGAGTTTTCGTTCATGAGATTTTTGCGACATATAGATTTGTCTTTGGTTTTTTTGTTAAAAATAAACGTAATCTTGATTCAACTGATGACAAATAATTTAATGAATGAAACGAACAATTATAATGATGTTTTGGAAATGCTTAACATGTTCGCTATTCATTGAATTTCATCAATACTGAATTCGTGGTCTATTGGCATGATAAACGAAATTATAATGAAAATGACAGTTAAGAAGAGACTATCAAAAGTGACTGTGACCATTGAACAGAGCGAAAAATACAAATATTAGAGAAGAAAAGCAGACAGCTATTTATATACGATGACATTGAACAGCTAATATTTAGACACACACTCTCTCTAGAGCTAATCGAGAAATTAGGTGTCGTTTTTTTATCTAATTAATGCTAATTACAGCCCAACAATTACAAAAAGTTCGAAATGAACGTTTAAAAAACACATTTTACTCTATTGTGTTGAATTGGGAGTTTTCCGCTGTTGTATAATCTCTTTTGAAGCTGATTCAAGTTCAAAAACATTTTTCAAACTCCAAATAAACAATACCACGATGCTCAAAGTATTTAATAATCGATACATAAACTGATGTTAGAATTTTTGTTTGTGTGCAAATAGGAGTAGATATCTTTGTAAAGAATGCTTATTATTTCCTTCGAACGATAAGAGATACAGATTTAGACTTGATCTAGAATCTTTGATCTCGATCCAGACTATTCATTTTACTATTTGAAAATGGAAATTCATAATAAAGTGTTATCAATAATATTTAATGAAATTAATATATTAATTGATAATTTCGATAGAAAATTAAATATGAACCTTAAACGTTATGAGTATCATAATCTTATCTTATAGCATCATGCAACAACACATCTTTCCTTTCATGATTGTTAATTATTAACTCTAGTAGTACCAAGTGGGTCATTTTTTACCCATACTTAAAAATTTGAAAATACAGTGCACATATTTTGTTATTTTTTTTCTTTCTGTTCTTGATTCTATACTAGGGTCACTGCGAAATACATATATATATCGTTGAAGTATTATAAATAAGTTTACTCTCATCTCTTCTGGATTTTTGCTCAAAAATCTCAACAACTTACCATAAAGATGTTTAAAATGCGCTAGCGGTCGTTGGCTATCCTGTGATAGAGGAAGAAGCACAAAAAGTAAATGAAAACTCTATTCAACCCGTAAGGAGCATTGTGTAAAATGTATTTTTTGTATTAATTGTTTCAAATAAAGAAAGATCATCATTTTAATAATTTTTTTTATCAAATCGAATCTGAAAATAGCACATTTAGGCTAAAATATTAATGTAAAAGTAAAATAATCACGCTACAAAACTGTATGCTATCAGTAGAGTGCTAAAAAGGCTTGGTACTACTAGGGTTAAAAGTATACCAATATATACGTAGATTGTTCCTGATATTATTCCTTCTAGTTAGAAGGAAAATACGAATGATTTCTTGAAGATCAACACTCAAGTCAACTATAGTCCAAACAATCAAAAATCCTTCTTAAAATATGATTTTTTTAATATTGATTATCATTAACGTCTATAGAATTATTCAATTATCTCTTCGTTACTGTAACATTACTGATACAGGTGCTGAACGTTTTGCTTATGCACTTGGTAACATGTTAAAACAAAATTGGAAATTATTAACACTTAATCTAAGTAGAAATCGAATTGGTGATTATGGTGCTAAATCTTTTGCAACAGTAAATAATCTATTCATTCTATTCAAAATTAAGACTATCTTTTATTCTTAGGCATTACATTAGAATAGAACATTAATATCTCTTAATCTTTCATCTAATTTTATGGAACTCACATATGTTTTCGAAGAAAATAGTGAGTATAAGTTTTAAGTTCGAGATTTCCCGGCTCCCCACTCCCTCCCCTTACAGACAGGCCCCCATTACAGACCATAGCAACGAGGCTCCCTATTACGGACACCTCCCCCCCATTACAGACTTTAGCAATGGAGAATAAAAGGTGTCAGATTTTTTAGAGTTTGAAAAATTGCTCAAGTTATAATTTTGAAGATTAGTCAACATCATTGTTTGTGAGTTGATTAACATATATATATATATATATAATAGTGCATAAAATCTGCCATAGATATCATGAATATGTAAACTAGACTTATTTGCCGATTCAATGATTATAATAATAAGAATATTAAATTAAAAAAACACGAATAAAAAAAAATAAAAAATAATGAGCGAATAGCAACAATGCAAACAAAAAATAGGGCCCTCGTAGAAAACAAATTCTATTTTAAATGTAGAAATAAATAGTAAATTCTTGCTCTTGTCATTGATTATTAGTGAAAACAACTACAGTCGACAAGAAATTTTTCAGTTTACGGATGATGTATTAGGATAACAAGGTTGAAGGATATATGTGAGTTCCACATTTCAGCTCCGAAGGAGCTCCGCTAACAAGCTTTTTTTATGTGTATTTGCAATGTGTTAAATAGTGGTAGTTGGTTTATTTTTAGCGGCAGATTCTGCACGCTTGGAAATAAATCATATCAACATAAAGCAGTTATTACAATGTATGATCAACTAAGATCAATTGAATTATCAATATGTAAGAAAAAAACTTTTTTTTTCAAAAGAAATTTTTTTGTTGAATATTTTTTATTTCAGTTAGAGCAAAAATTTGAGCTTTATGAGATGCTATTGTTGATATGCATGGAGCTAATGTTATCCGAACATGGACACGTTTAGCTTCTGTAGCTATTATTGGTTCAACACAAATTATTATTCTTCATCCTGTAGATTGGCCAATAGACAGCACAATTGTTATTACAACAATAGGAAATTATTTAACTCAAGGAAAAACTGAAATATGTACAATAACAGCTATATCATCGAATGGACTTACATTAACATTAGATTCAGCATTAGTCAATACTCATTTAGGTATAACATAAAGTGTTGGTTCAACATCAGTTGAACTTCGTGCTGAAGTTGATTTTCTATCTCATAATGTTATCTTTCAAGGTTTGTTAAGAATATTTATTTGAAATTATTTTTTATATTTATTTTTCGGACAATAGGCTCAGTTACTCCATCATCGAATTTAACAATTGAACTTTGTCTAACCGGTTTTAATCCAGGTAAATAATTTTATTTGATTGAATTAAAAATTTCATATGTTTTTATAGGTGAATTTGCTGTTCAAACATGCTTTCTACGTTGATATGGTGAAGGAATTGGTTCAGATCAATATGGTGCAACAATTATGGTTTATTCTAGTTCTGATAGTATTTAACGAGCTATTCCTCGTTCATCAAATATTGAGGTAAAACTATTCTCTTTTTTTTTCTATTTAATTTTTCTAACCTTTTAATTTCATAGGTATCCAATGGTGGTCAAGCTTTTCATCTTGGTCAATATCCAATACATTTTCATATGAATGGAAATATGAGTTTATCATATATTAAATCATCTGCTATTCATCAAACATTTAATCGAGCTGTTAATATTCATACAAGTCATTATTTTACAGTTGAAAATAATATTATCGATGATATAATGTATGTAATAAAGAAATATATATAAAAAAAAATATTGAATTATATTTAGGGATGGAGTGTTCTTTTTGGAAGGCGATGCTGAAGTCGGTAATGTTTTACGTGGTAATTTAGCTGTATTTATACGAACAAGGTCAAGTTTACCTAATGAAGATGTAACATCAGCTGCATTTTGGGTAATTTTTCAATAAATAATATTTATTATATTCATGTTGTTGTTTGTTTTTTTAGATTACTATCCAAATAATATTGTTGAAAATAATGCTGTTGCTAGTGATACTCATTTTGGTTATTGGTATTGTATGGTTCGAACATCTGATGGACAATCATTTGCAATATATCGAAATATTTGTCCATATCGACAAATATTTGATCGATTTGTAAACAATAGTGTACATAGTGTAGGACGTTTTGGTGTACGAATTTTTCTTGAATATTCACCAACTGTAGCTGGTAGTCGTTCAGCTGATACACCATATCAAGCAGTATTTGATGAATTAATAGCATGAAGAAATCATAAAGGTTTTGAATGGGTTATGTCAAGTAGAATTCAATTAAAAAATGCAATTGTTTATGATAATGTTAATTCGGGTATTCGATGTGTTACAGTTATTAATTCATTATCTGGTGTAACTAATGGTATAATCCTTTCACCTGATGCTCTTACATCAAGTGCATGTACATCAACACTAAATTTTCATAATGCAATAACATGTCCGTCATTATTGGATACATGGATTCGATCTGCATTTAATAAAACTAATTTAGAACAAAATGGTGAAGTTTTAAATGTTTATGATACATCAAATCGTCATACAGTTGTACTTTATCTTCATAAACGATTTACACATTCTAATATTTATATGATGAATTTATTAGCTGGACAAACTTATTTATGTCAATTTCAAAATACTAATGTAATAATTGCTTTTTTTTTTGGGAAATAATATTTTGAATAAATTTATTTTTATTTATAGAGTTCTATTAATATATTTTATTTAGGTGTTGCTTATGATTTGGCACCTGGTAATTATCTTATTATTCGTCATAATGTTAATTATATGCCTGATCGTGTTTGTAATATTTATTCTTTCATTAATTGAACTTTTAAGATAATAAAGAAAATGATTGTTTCTATTTCTTTTTATTCTGAATGGAGAGAATGAAGTTATGTTTTGGTTGCACGATAGCATATATAACAACGTGACCAATAGTTGATCTATAGTTGTATATTTTATAGATTGCATTCTACATATTCGAGAAAAGAAAAATAAAAGAAAGAAATATGCATCTGAATCATCTTGCTGACACGTCACCATTTCACGCAAATAGTATATAAGTTAGTTCTATTCATTTAATATAAACAATAACAAGCATCATTCTCCTTAAACCTCTTATTATTATCTTATTATTAGTCAAAAATGGCGAATCAAGGTACAAATGAAGCTGATCATATTATAAATATACGGAATCAACCAAATCATGAAATTATTTGAACAGTATGAGATTTGTTTTTAAACAAATAAAAAATAATTTTTTTCATATAGTATAACGATTATCAGGAAGAACGTACTGGTTATCAATTGAAAAGAAAAGCTGGTTTTCATCTCAGTGGAGTAGAACGTGGTCGTCATAATTTTACTTCTGAGTCTCTTTCATTCATGCGTCCGGTTTATAGTAAATTTAGGATATATATGACCATATTTTTCAATATTTTTTTTTTAGAAAAAGCAGTTGAAAAAATCATTGAAGATGAAGAAAACCGTGATCCAACGTCATCAACAACTGTCGAAAATGACGACGATAACCAATATTATGGTGAACCTGTACCAGAACTTGCAACAGCAAATGATAATACAAATAGTTACCCATGTGTTCGAATGCGATCGCACTGTGACCCGTAATTGCGGAAAATTGCGGCGCAGCTACGCGTAACTGCGAATATTTTACCGTAGCTGCGCGCAACTGCGATATTTTATTCGCAGTTACGCGTAACTACGTCGCAGTCGATCGTAGTCGAACATATGATTTTTTTTGCTGCGATCAATGCGCCACAGTTACGATCAAAATTTCGCAGTTACGTGCAAATGCGGCGCAGTTGTTAAAAAAGTGGCGACATGGGTATGTTACTACTGAATGTCAACAACTTGATACAGAAACTAATATAAATAATCCTAGTAGTAATAACTTGCAAGATAATACTGAAATTATTGTTAATGTTGATGCAGATAATAATGGTAATGTTGATCGTATATCTGATTCTAGTCCTCGATTAAATCGAGCTATTAGTGATCAATAAAGAGTAAATTGACTTGTTTTATTGATATTAAATTTATTTATTGTTTTCTAGAGAAGAATAAATATCTGTTCATTATTAATGTATTCAAAGTGTTATGGCTCTTCCAGTAATCAAGAAAAAAAACCAATTATTATTATTATTATTTATTATTTTTTTTCATTAAATCTTATGTTATTATATTCTTTTTCTGTTGATAAAATATAATATTAATGATTATTCATTTCGCTTCTTTGTTTATATAAAATCATATGAGAATAGAAGTTTCAATATTATGATCATTTAATACTTGATATACTTTGATTTTTGGAAATTTCAACCTGTTGCACGATTGTCGAAAACTTGATACATGATTCTAGACGCGACTCCTAAGGTTACCAAATCCCGGTGTAAAATTATTTTGAGCATGTCTAGGTTTTTCAAAAGACAAAATCTATTTGGCGTTAGTGACGTGACAGCTTTGTTAGCGACGTGAGTGAGTACGACTTCACTACAGATGAAATACTCTGGTGGTGAACTGGAAAGTTTGAAATCGATGCCAAGGAGCTTCTAGTAATGGTAGGAGTACCTAGGATAATACAAAGACAAAGATTTTCGTTCCAGCTCTGTCTAAAGACTCTGAAAGGTCGATTTTCTGGAAACAACTTTTTAAAGTCCGATCTCGCTGAAAATTTTATCATATATGCGGCTTATACCCTAGAAACTATCCTGAAGTTTTCACGTTTTTCCCTTATTTGATTATCGAGATATTCACTAGTTATTTATTAATTAGTTAATAATTAACTAATTAATAAAGGGTGAGCCAAAAGTCTTGGTCGTTCTCAGAAAAATTGTTCGTTCTTCCTTATGGTAAACCCAAAAATGCTCAACCGTTGGTGTCTTATCCCTTGTAAGTACGCGAACGTTACCCCAAAGTTTCATGTTTCTATCCCTTATTATAAGAGAGATACATAGGGTAATATTCTAGAAAATATTTTTCTCATGTCCCAAAATATGGTTGGCGATGGGCCACTTTTGTATTTTACTTTTCCACCATTTAATACGTTCTATTAGGAAAACAAAATATACCACAAGATGCAGCGTGAAAAGCTCTACAATCTACACAATAAAGCGTATTTTAATTATATAATTTTTGTTTTAAAAGAATCAAAACTCTATGCAATCAATTTTGACCGTTGTAAAAAAAGTCGTTTTTTCCTATACGAACGAAAAATACGTTTTCTTTCCACCTCCTCGTCACCAAATACATTTTTTTAAGAGAAAGCAGAATATACCACAAGATGAAGCGTGAAAAGCTCTACAATCTACACAGCAAAGTGTATTCTAGATGTGTAATTTTTGTTGTCAAAAACAGCGAAATTTTGCGCGATCAGATTTTTGCAATGGCAAAAATTAATCGTACATAGTTTCGCTTTTTTCGACAACAAAAATTACACATTTAGAATACACTTTGCTGTGTAGATTGTAGAGCTTTTCACGCTGCATCTTGTGGTATATTTTGTTTTCCGAATAGAACGTATTAAATGGTGAAAAATTGAAACAGAAAAATGGTCAATCTACATGTATTATGCGCCAACTATTTTTTTTGGGAGATGGGAAAAAAAATTTCTAGAATGTTACCCTATGTATCTCTCTTATAATAAGGGATAGAAACATGAAACTTTGGGGTAACGTTCACCTACTTACAAGGAATGAGATACCAAAGTTTGAGCATTTTTGGGTTTACTATAAGGAAGAACGAACACTTTTTCTGAGAACGACCAAGACTTTTGGCTCACCCTTTATGTGATCCATCTATATCATCTTTTGTTCTGTGGTTATGCATGAATGCATATATCTCATGTCGTCTCTTTTTTAGCAACTGTGATCGCAATTGAATCGTAATCGAAAAGATAGGATGTTCTCATTTCTAGTATGTTCTATATGGATCATGCATATTCTCTATTGCCTTTCTAGTAGATTCCTTCCGTTTCCATACTCTTGTACATATATACCTGATACTTGCAACAACAAACAGATCATATTCTGTACATATGCGACAAGATAAAAGTTCTCTCTGATTAACAATTGATTGGTGATTAACAACCTTTACAGACTCTTTATGTAGTGGTGTATTTCAGCTATTTATGCAATTCATTTTATAGAAGTTCATCAACCATCTCTAGCATTATGGTCATTTTACTGTGACTATTGATGTGAAGAAAAATTATCTAGTGTCCTTTTGAGACGAGAACATAGTAGTAATTCAGAGAACGAAGATTCAACTCTCAGAAAAGCTATCTCTACATTTGGATATTAGTGAAGTGCGGGTATGCTATAATGGTTGAAGAGAAGACACACACCCGCATCCAACATTCTGGAGGTCTTCTAATGTGTCGAAGGCTTTAGGACTTCTCATTTAGAAGTTCTGAGCCGATCTTTGAAAGGCCTGTAAATTAAGTTTGAACGCATTTCAGTGTGCCAAAAAATTGCCCAAAGCAGAAATTTACAGGTAACTTATAAAATTTCACAGAGCCTATTGAAGCCTATCGTAAAACAAAAGTAAATTAACTAGAAATCACGAAAATTTATCAAATATAAACACAATACTTCTGAGTGAATTTTGAAATTACTCAGCCATTACAAACCTATTTCAATCTATTTCTATATGAGAAAGAACACACGACTCATAATCATCCGTGAACGTCCAATTACAATGGCATAAACAGCATACTTAGGACGATAAATGAGGCAAAAATTAACTTTTTGGTAGACAATGGACACGGCAGTACACATTGACGTTTATGACCGTACTTCCATACAAATAAACGTACATGACCATAATGAACCGAAATGGCAGCCATCCACGAACATTTGCTTCCTTATCATAACACATATGTACTTTTGAATATAGCCTACATCTCTAATCTTAGAGATATATCCTTAAACTTATACCCATAAGTCTATACCCATATTCTTATGCCCTAAATCTATATCCTTACATCTTAGATCTATAACCGATGCCTATAAACCTAAAAGTTATGCCCTATGAGAACACTCTTATGATTATACCCATACTACTGCATCGTTAGGTGAAAAGTACTTGATATGAATAGATATTTTATTTTACTAAAACTTATAGAAAACAATAATTTCTACAGTGTTTACTAAGAATAGAAGATTATTTGAGGTAAACATCAATCATTGCTCAGAACGTATGATCTTAACTAAAATAATGTATACATAAATCACAATACGGAAAGCCATTTTAAAATGTGATAAAAAAGTATTTGCCAACAGAGGCTCACTAAATACTTGTTAATAAATAATCTTAAGTGCTGTTTATAGATGTGCGGAATCATGAAAAAAAAGCGGTTGCTAAGATCAAGACTAGAATAAAAAAAAAGTCGTCCCAATCAGAACTAGCAATTATAGTTAATAATTCTATAATTTTAAGTGAATCATATCAATCAGAGCATAATTTAAGAGAGAGATGATCCAAAAAAGTCCTTCTCATCAATTAAATTAATCAAAAAAAAAAAAGTAATGAAGAATTTTTCTAGATGTGATACAAATAAATTTTGAAATAGTTTTCTATAGGACAGAATCTCAAAAGCTAACTTCAACGAGATCGGGACTAAGGTGATAGAAAAAGTTTTCAACAACAATATATTTTTCAATAATACTAAACATCTAGCTCAAATATAGATAATGATTTTAATAATCAATGGAATTTTGCTATCTAATACATTTATTGAATACCAAGCATAATAAATAATATCTATTCAAGTTTAAAGGTCTTTTAGCCTTCATCATTATTCTCAACTTTTTTTACACTATGTGATTTAGCAATAGGTTTATTATATCATTCAATTAATTAGTTATACTTGACAAAATCTATGTTGATATTGATATTTCTACAAATGAATAAATCTTTAGAATATATTTATATGAATGCGTGTGTCGTTGACTAAACGATCGACTCAAACATTTGCATACAAATATGTAAATATATAAGAAGTAACAACAAGAAAAGAATTGATGAAATGTAAATTTTCTTATAAACAGTTATACAGTTATAATTAATAATAAAATTAAATCTTTATATGTTACATTGACGAACAATAATATTTGCCGGATAGCGATAGAAAAACATGTATCTGTATCTTCCATTATAAGTATAAGTTATGAATATTATAAGCTTATCTTATAGTAACATGCGAAAGTACGTATTTCATTTCATGGTCGATAATTATTAAAGATATACCAACATATATGTAGATTGTATCCGATATTATTTTTCCTAGTTAGAGTGAAAATACGAATGACTTCTTGAAGATTAACACGAAAGTCAAGAATGTATAGTATATTTTGTTATGTTTCATCATATTTGTGTGTACACTGTTGTTGCTCTGAATTGTTTAAAATTCAAGATGTTACCACGTACTTCTTCAACGACAAAGACTTTATACTTTTGAATGTAAACATGATAAAAGTATATCGAAATATTAAAAAGTAGAAGAACATACAAAATATGCTGTTCATTTTTTAGCAAAAACTGTGAACTTAAAATCTTAAAATTGATTAGATATGTACCAGATTGTGTATAACCTTTTACTAGGGGGATAGCACTATGATTTCAAGTTAAATACCTAATGAATTTTATACCAAATTAAAGATCGTCAAAAACTGGATTCATTAGTACTAAATAGTAAGAGTTATCAAAATATTTTAATGTCGAACTTACGAAATTTTTGGAAACTTTATGCGTTTTTTTAGCATAGACAATTAAGGCACCAGTAACTTTTTATAGGGAAGACAAAACAGTCGATTTTCTCAATACAATTAGTTTTTTCAATATTTTCACTCATACAGACGCAATTTTTCATGCTGCATCGGATGAGTATATTTCGAAGCGTCTTTCTAAGTAAAAATAATGAAAAAAGTTAATTTTATCGAAGAAATCGAGTTTTTAAAGATTTTTTACGATTTTAAAAGTAATTTTTTAGATTTTGTATCTCAGAAAAATGGCTCAAGAAACTTTTAATATATATAGTTTGGTAGAGCTCGATGGGCCCTATCGAACCATGTAAAAATACCAAAAGAAACTATATTACTCTGTATTTGAATTACTAGTGCCCTAATTTTCTATGCTAAAAAAAGCATAAAGTTCCAAAAATTTCGTAAGTTCGACACTAAAGTATTTTGATAACTCTTACCATTTAGTACTAATGAATCCAGTTTTTCACGGTCTTTAATTTGGTATAAAATTCATTAGGTATTTAACTTGAAATCATAGCGCAACTCCCCTAGAAAAAGGTTATCCACAACCGGTACATGGATTTTGATCATATTTTACAAATATAATCGAATAAAATCGAACTATATGCACCAAACAATAGCAAGGTGAAACTGAGTCATCGTTTAACACTGGTTTATTTCTCTTCACCTGACTTTTGTTTTGATTATTTTCATCTATAATACATCCCACGACGATCATGACACATAGGTAAGCATTGCTAGAGCAATGGGAGAAAATCTCTTACTCATCACCAACCGAAGCTCATTCATTTTTATCAATCAATCGATCTATTTAAATCACCTGTAATTATCATATGGGAGACATCCAATTTAAACATTTACTCATCAATAATGACAATGATAAACAGTAGTATAAAAACTAGTGCTCTCTGCCTGTTTCTCTTCACTTCTAGTTTTCGATTTCGTTTATGAAGACAAAAAAAAGAATGCATAGCATTAGTCGTTTATGAGTTGACTCTTTCTCTTGTTCACATTTTTATCTACTAATATATATATATTCAGTCTTATACTACGCAAGTAACTCTTACCGATTTATTGCATATAGAATATCTCTCTCTATCTCTAGTTATTAGAATCGTCATCTACTTTTTCTTTCTATCCTTTTAGATAATAAAGAAGATATTTTTGCAAGAGCAAATATGAATATGTTTTGCTCGATACTAATCTATTCTCTCGTTTTTATTGATATATTCCTCAATGTTCAATGCTACAATTCTGATAAAGAATTTAACCTGAAAAGCTTGATTCTTCGAAGGATTGCTCGCGACAGCTGTTCTAAACCAGATCAATGTATGTCGAAATGGGGTTTCTGTGGAACAGGATCAGATTATTGTGGTGATGGTTGTAAAGCAGGTCCATGCACGGGAACTGGTGGAGGTCCCTGTCCTGATTCAACCGATTGTCGATCCCAATGGGGCTATTGTGGAAAGGGACCAGATTTTTGTGGTGATGGTTGTAAAGCAGGTCCATGCACGGGAACTGGTGGAGGTGGAAGTAGTGGAGGTGATTCAGTTGGTGTTATTACCAGTAGTATATTTGATTGTATATTCAACACGATCGATGCGACATTACGCGCTAACCGATTTAATGGACTAAAGGCAACAGGCTGGACACCAGCAAACAAAGATGAAGGTGCTGTCTTTCTTGCACATGTATTTCATGAGACAGATGGACTCAAGACAATGAAAGAATATTGTGCCCCAGGTATGTTTTTTTTCTAAATCATTCAATATGTGAAGACATCGAAAGTGTGCTCTATAATGAGACTAGTTTCCCTTCTAATAGAAACAATGATTTATTGAAAGTTAGTTGTACTATAGAAAATGAAGATTATGAAATAGAATAAAATTTATTATTTTTGTAAAACTTCAATATTTCTACTTGTAACTGATAAAATTGACATTGATATTTATTGAGATCATTTTAATCAGAGTATATAAATTCAAAATTATTTTCTCAAAGAAATATATAGAATTTCTTGAATCTCATTTAGTCGAAAGAGTGAAAATCGATTATCTTTGAATATTGAATTAGTTGAAACTGAAAAATTTTCTTTTTCTTTCAAATACTAGGTTGTGGTCCACAATATAGTGGTTCTTGGTGTAGTATCTCAGCTGCACCGGATAAATTATACTATGGTCGAGGTTGGTTTCAGCTTTCATGGCCATGTAACTATTACAATGCAGGTCAAAGTCTTGGTATTGATCTTCTCGCAAATCCAGATATAGTAGAAAATGATCCTAAAACAGCGGTAAATACAGCTCTCTGGTTCTATAATGCAAATGGTATGGCTGCACCAGCTCAAAGAGGTGACTTTGCTGCTACGACACGCATCATCAATGGTGCAGTTGAGTGTGATAATGGACCAGGTTACAATAATCAATTGACTCGAGTTGCGACCTACAAACGTGTTCGTCAATGCTGCGGTCTTGGAGAACCTTCCATAAATCCTGTCTGTTAGACTTTCTTTTCATTTTCTTCTCTTTATTGTACAGACATTTTATCGATCTAAAAACGGACTCGCAATTTAAATGAGAAGTTGTGTTTCTTTTGGCTCTGTGTGAGTCGTTTATGCTAATTATTTAATCATTCTTTCTTTATTTCGGGATATGCGACTATTTCGAATCTTCTTTTTTTGTTCTTTTTATTTGTTTTTTTTTTATTTCCGCTCTTCGGTTACATTTCTTGTTAATTTATTTCTTCTTTGAAAGATAAAATAAAGGATGAATGTGATTGTGTCTTGTTAAAAACTATTTCTGAGAACAGTATTACACCACTTGTTTTGTTTTTCATTTCAAAGCATTTCTATAGGAAATTCTATCAAATGAAAAGACTTCATTTTCATATGATTCTATTTAGAAACAAACACTTCACAAAAATTATCCGATACTATATATGAATATTTAGCAAATATAGTTTCCTACAAAGAATGTCAACTTATAATAGTTTAAACTAATTTTCAATAGTAGTATGAGTTTTCTATTGATATGGAAACAATAGGAAATTTCAAAAAGTTTTGTATCATTATTATAAGTTCTTCATGAGAAACTATTAAAATATGGTGTGAAACTTCAACTGTTGATTATCGAAAAAAAATCGATATCTCATTTAAAAAAAACGAATAATTGTTTGTACGACTAATCACACAATGCTTTTCCACACATGATATTTACAGTTCATAGCATTGAATATCATTTCTGTCGCTTCCATGAAAAGCTTGAATTGTTTTTGTTTAGGTCATTTCGCTGGTCGAAAGTACAAAAGGAATTTTAAAGCAAACATGGTCGATACCAACGGATATCAACTTATTTTTAAAAGACACTGTTGATTTTTCGTTTACTTATCGATTATTTGCTTGCGATACAGCTGTAATGGATAAGATCTGCTTATCGAGTACATTAGTACTTACTTTTTATGCTGTCTTCATTTTAATTATATCGAAAGGCGACGGAAAATATAACTCTTACAAATTTGTATTTTTGTGGAGTACGGATTTGTAAGAAAACAAGACATCCTGTGGAAGATCGAAAAAGAAATGATATCGATTCGATCTTGATACTTTCACGTTGTGCTTAAATGAGTATTTTCTGAGTTTTCGTTCATGAGATTTTTGCGACACATAGATTTATCTTTGTTTTTTTGTTAAAAATAAACGTAATCTTGATTCAACTGGTGATGGATAATATAATGAATGAAACCAACAATTATAATGATATTTTGGAAATGCTTAACATGTTTGCTATTCATTCAACTATGACGTTGAATTTGAAGTTTACCGCTGTTGTATAATCTCTTTTGAAGCTGATTCAAGTTCAAAAACGTTTTCCAAACTTCAAATAAACAATGCCACGATGCTCAAAGTATTTAATAATCGATACATCAACTGATTTTAGAATTTTTGTTTGTGTGTAAACAGGAGTAGATATCTTTGTAAAAAATGCTTATTACTTCCTTCGAACGATAAGAGATACAGATTTAGACTTGATCTAGAATCTTTGATCTCGATCCAGACTATTGATTTCACTATGTGAAAATGAAAAGTCATCATAAAGTGTTATCAATAATATTTAATGAAATTAATTTATTAATTGATAATTTCGATAGAAAATTAAAATATGAACCTTAAACGTTATTTCTTTTCTATAGATCAAAGATGCTTGCGAGTACAATGAATTCAAATTCATTTGATCACAATTTAAAACCATCTTCTATAACAACAATCCAATGAAAAATATTCATGAGAAAATTACGATTATCTTTGATTATCAGTGTCCAAATCTTATTTTTTGGATGGACTTCTCACTTTTCGGAGAAAATTCGATTGAAATGAATTAAAATTTATAAATCAATTGAAAAAATAATCTAGTGTATCGATTATTCTTGATTATCTCGCTTGTAATCCAATTTTCATTTGATTGTCAATGATTATTAGGATAGTAATTTGATTTTAATCATTAATCGATTCAATCGATTACTAAGATGTTGAAGAATATCAATAAGATTTATACAGAAATATATAATTTGGACTAATACGAGGCATGTTGAGTAGAATTTTAATTGCTATCAAAACTACGATAGATAAGAATGTCATGTAATATTTATTAGGACAGATGTTTCTAGAACAATACATGATCATAAATAACATTAGTATCCTTTCTGAAACATCATTTCGATAAAATAATCTGATTAAAATTGTTTTTTTATCAATAGTACATTCATCTAAAACATGAATTATGTTAAATTGATTCTAAAAAGTAGTAATGAAGTGAAATTGATTATTTTCGTAAGTAGAAGGCACACATATTACAAAAGCATTTTATATACAAAAGAATATTACATAGAAAAAAGTCAAAATATGCATATAATTGATTAAAGTATTTCAATTAATATAGATCCAGTTTCTTTAAATTTTTAATCGATTTCTGATGTAATAGTATCATCTCAATTTGAAACAATTTATATAATAGTTCCAGATTTACTTCATTTGCTGAAGTTTATCTTGGTGACAGCTGCATGGTTTCTAAACATGAGCAAGCATGAAAAATTTAGATATCGCGTTCAGATCTCGAGAAAAGTACTCATCTTCAGTATGTATTATTAAAATCAATTACCAATCACATATTAAAATCGATTAAGAAGTGATAATAGTTAAAAACCTGATTAACAAGTAATAATAGATTGATGCAGATTAACATATAATAATCCAATGAAAAATGAGAACAATTAAAATTTTTCACTGTGTAATGGCTAAATAAAAGAAATTTCAATGTTGATATTGTCAAACGAAAAGGTTTATGATGTTTAATATCTACACTTAATTTATCACGATTTATTTTTTCGAAAATTTACTATGATATGTGCTTGTTCGTATAATTTTCATTCAACTTTTCTTTTATTCTATCCTTTATGTATCTTGATTTTAATGGTTCTGACGACTTTGAAATTCAACAAAGTCAGCCGTTTTCTCCTCGATATAAGTTCATATATGAAAACTTTTTTTTGTTATTAGATCTTTCTGCAACACACAAATTCATAATGATTTAACTATTGCTTATGAACAACATTATGTTTCATTTCATACGGGTGTTTCAAGTGGACGAGAGTCTTTGGAAGATGATTCCCGAAGTGATCATGTAATAATTGTCATTATTCAATAAACTGTTGATGCTATTAAAGATCTGGTGAATGATCATGCACATATTAGCATTGATTATATTGCTACTATCTTAGATTTATCAAATGATAGTGTAGATACTATTGTCAAGCAATACCTTGACTGACGAAAAGCATCATCAAGATTGGTATCTCATAAATAGAGACCTGCGGAGTTAGGTTTTTTTATTCCGAAACCCGATTCCAAGAATTTCTATATTTTGACTCCGGTTCTAACTCCGAAATTTTTTTTTTCGAAAGCAGACGACCTCTAAATGTATTTTATTGTTTAATTTTGAACATGTATAAATCGATAAACAAGCAAAGGAATAAAAGAAAATCAATGAATCATTAAAAGATTAATTTTGAATTTCTTTTTTCATTTGTTATGCAGTGAAAATAAAAAAAACAATAACTAGGAAGTATTCAACATGTACTATGCTCAAACAATAGAGTCCTGCATGGAGTCGTCGTCAGAGTCAACTAAATTTTACACTAAAAATTTCACTTTAGCACAGGAAATTTTTTGAATTGTAGATTTTGTTTTCTGGTATTTACTGTATAAACTTATGCGTTTTGGAGGTTTCAACGACATGTTATCAAAATCTACGAACATGAAAGAAAGTCGAAGTCAAGTTCAACTCCGATTTCGACTTTCTTTCATGTCTATAGGTTTTAATAACACGTCGTTGTAACCTCCAAAATGCATCAGTTTATATAGTAAATCTCAGAGAATAAAATCTACAATTAAGAAAATTTCCTGTGCTAAAACGAAATTTTTAGCATAAGATTTAGTCGACTTGATGGCAAGATTCTACCAAGCAATCGATAATTGGTGACGATGAGAATTATTGTATTTTGGATAATACTGAAATATTTTTTGATTAATGATATCATGTTTTTATGAGGTTGATCTTTCGAATATTATGTTTGTTAATATGAAAAATAAAGTTATTGTAGTATCAAATAGCAAAAGTTTATTAGGGGTTGTTATAATTTCAACTTCGAAAAACTTTTTCAGTAAACCTGACTCCGATTGCGGCGGAATTGGAATTCCCCGCACGTCTCTACTCATGAACTCAATCAAGAACAACGGCAACGATATATTGATATTTTTATTGAGAATTTATAGAAATTTGAAAGTAGTGCTTGTAGATTGGGCAATATAGTTACAGAAGATGAAACATAGATTTATTATTGCAAAATTAAATCAAAAAAGACAATCATTCAAAGAGAAAAACAATCTTTCTTTTTTTTTTATGACAAATAAATCATTACGTATTCATGGATTACCTTCTGGAACATTAATAAATACCAAATATTATTAAGTTGCATCATAATAATGCAAGATCACATATGAATGATATCATTATTATTCATCTTGAAGAAAGAAAAATGAAACTTATGACTCATCCATCATACTTTCCTGACCTCGCTCCTTTAAGCTTGTAGTTGTTCGGATGATTGAAAATTAAACTTAATGTACATTCATGTGCTATAAGATACTTTGTATAAGTGTACAAACTTTTTTACTATGCTATGTATTTATATCTCCATAGAGGAAATACTAAATAGTTACACAATCAACTAATCTCATAAAGAACTTTGTTCATATAAAGTTTGAAGTCGTAACTCGAAAGTTGATTTTTCATGTGGCTACAGTTTTTTGTTGAAAAACGCAATAAAATTTCTATATCTTTAGAACGAACATTCAAAAAAAAACCAAACCATTCTCTAGACTTTTCTATTACTCTCTCGCACTTATCAAATGAACATCAGAAAAAGAATTTAGTATTTAGAGAAGTTTCC